GAAAAAGGATGGAGGGAAATATAGTTCCCATGTTTTTTCCCTTTTCTTCTGAGTCTTTCTTCACAACGCGATTAATGTGGAAATAGGTCTAATAGGATTATACATGTATAGCCTATATCAGATTGCATGCTGTCTTGAGGGGACAGGGGAGGAAAAAGATTTTGGAACTCAAAATCTTATAAAAGTGAAATGTCGAAAACCATCTTTACATGTAATTGGAAAAAATATAGTACTATTAAGGGGGTAAAAAAAAGTTCAATCCAAGAGCCACCTTTCTCAATTCCCCCTTCCCTAGTAGTACCTCCCTGCAAAACTGTCTTTTATTTTGTATACATTTTGTATTACTTATATATGTAAATGTTGTGTTCTAGAGAAAACTGAAGCTTGAGGAAACCATTTCATTTTTGTTTTGTTTTTTATTTCCAGTGCCTAGCACAGTGTCTAGAGGTCCTCAATATTGCTTACTGATTAGGGATCAAACAGCTCCCTAAAGTGAGGAAATTTTAAAAAATATATATATTTTTAATATATACACTTTAAAGCATTCTTTTCTCTAGAGGAAGAGGAAAGACAATAAGTAAGCTTTCTGAAGGAAGGAAATAGAAAACAGCACAACAGCAGCTCAGGAAAACATGTCTTGGGAATCAAACTTTTGCACATGGCTAACTTTAGTTCAGATGCCAAAAACAAACAAAAAACCAAAAAGGCCCCAAACAATCAAAATAAAGAATTTAGCTCTAACTCCTCACAGAGACCTGACATTTCTGTAGGTAAAAAGTCACTACATATACACAATTTTGTCTCCACATGCTGACAAAAGCTGCAAATATATAGCATTAGGTGAAGAACCATGAACTTTGATGTTTAATAAAAATTACTACATGAAGCAGATTCCATATTAAGTGCTACTTTATGATATGATAAGAAAAATAAAATAAAATTAAGTATTTCCTTATTGAAACTACTTAAGACTAAGCATTCTAAAAAAGAGATAAGAAATACACAAAAAGCACACTCCACAGCAGTTATAATGGTCTCCAGGATCCTGTGACTTGTGCAAATCCTTTCCTAAACCTCAGGTTCCCAAAACTACCAGTCACAATGCCACCACTTGTTTCTAAGAATTAATATCAGGATATAAGAAAGTCTATGACATTTCATTACCTCTTATCCACTGCACAAGTCAGCAACTTTTTTCCTGAGGCAGCTTAACTCCAAGTGACTAAAAAAATTTACAAAGCTTTTTTCCCCTCCTCTACAATAATCAAAGTCACTGAAACACTTCTAAGAGAAAAACATTTACTCTATATGCTAAGCCAATATACTTGGGTTTTTCACAACATGTAATCAGAGTAGGATTATGCTTTGTACCACATTTTTTACATAACACATAGACATCACATCTAACACTTTTCAAAGACAGATTCTGCATTTTATTGTCCACTTTTTTAAAAGACAATTTCTACATTTCCCCTAATTTCATGTCACCTTAGGCAAGTTATTCTCCCCTTTATTCCCTTTTCCCTCAAATGTTCAAATTGATATACCCATATCCTTCTTTATGATCAAACCACTTCCAAATTACGTTTTTACTTTGTTAGAATGAACTTCTAATCCCTAAATATGAATGTTCCCCCTGGCCCTCTTCTCTCTTCCTTCTATACACTTCTATACTAGGTCAGTCTAGCAAGTTCATTCACTCCCACAAGCTTCAGGGCTCCCTAATCAAAATCTCTACTCCTGACTTCTTGGATTTGGATTGCATACAGATATTTTCACTTAAATATTACAGATGCACATCACACTCAAAATCCCCCAAGTTAAGCTCACCCCCTTCCTCCTAAACCAGGGATGGAGAACCTGCAGCCTCAAAGCCACAAGTGGCCCTCTAGGTCCTCAAGTTCGGCACTTTGACTGAATAAATTTGTTCTGTGAAGTTTGGATTCAGTCAAAGGGCCATACTTGAGGACCTAGAGGCCACATGTAGCCTCAAGGCCATAGGTTCCCCACCCCTGTCCTAAACCTATTTTTTCTTCTGACTTCTATTTCTCTCTGCAGCATACTTCTCACTCAGTCTCCCATCTTCCAAATCCTAGTTATATTTGACTCATACCTTACATCTAATCCATTACGTGGTCTTGTCACTCATCTGTGCAAAAAACTTCAGTGCCTTTCTGGTCTATCCTCTCCCGTAACTTTCCATCATATATTCTACCCTACAGGAAAATCAGACACAGCTTGCCATGCCCAAATCATAAATTGCATTCTCATACCTCCTTGACTCTGCTCAGTCTCTTTGCTATAACACCTAACTTTTCCAGCCTGCTGAACTCTTACCTAAACATCAAAAGATTTAAACACTCTTCTCGGATGAGAAAAGTTTATCTGTCTTATGAGCCCTAGTTATTTAACTGTATCACCCTTCTAAACCTCTAAGGCTCAGTATCTTCACCTATAAACTGCTACTACTAATACCTGTTTGAGAGGGTTGAGATCATTTATATTGAAGTGTTCTATAAAGCATATTCTCGGTCTTCATCCCTCTTAATATCTCAGCCATAACAATACTGACCACTCCCTCCCTCCCTCCCCATTTGCTGAATATTCTTACTCTTTTAATGATACTGTTCTCTACTGGTTTTATTTCTACAAGTCTGACCAGTATGACCACGCCTTCTGGATCCCCTTTACTGGATTATCACCTATGTTCAGCCACTTAATCTTGTGGGTTCTCCAAGGATCTGTCCTGGGCTCTTCTGTACACCCTCTCCCTTTGTAATTTCCTGAGCTCCCAAAGGTTCAATTATAATCTCTAGACAGGTAACTCCCTATCCAACCCAAGAGTTCTAATTGCACATGACTAAACCGACTGCTAGACAGATCTCTGCATGCCTTCCTTTCAAAGAACTTATTATCTTCTATATTCCTTTCCAAACCTGCCCTTTCACCAAGCTAGCCTATTTCCCTTCACCAAACTTGCTTATTTCCACTGAGGACAATCTCAGAATCATTTTCTTTCTTCCTCAACACCACCCCAATCCAATCACCAGCCAAGTTTTGTCAATTCTACCTTCACAACTTATTGTGCAATTGTTCCCTTCTTTCCTCCACACACACACAACCACTACCCTACTCCCCAGGACTATTGCAAAAGCCTCCTCATTAGTCTCCCTGATTGCAGTCTTCCCTCTAACTCAGCTGCCAAAACCATCTTCCTACATGAAAGCATTTAATCCTATCACTCCTCTACTAAAGAAACTTCAATGGTTCCATACTGCCTCTAGGATGAATACACATTCTTTAAGTTGGTATTTAAAGCAATTCAAAATCTTGTCTCCAGACTACTTTTTGAGGCTTACTACTCATTATTATTCCACTTTTGGTTCCAAATAAACAGGCCTCCTTGCTATCCCTGAACAGAGTACTCCATTTCCTGACTATAACTTCTACACAGAGTATGCCCCCATTTTGGAATGCACTCCCACTTCAAATCTGCCTTTGAAGACTCCCTTCTTTCCTTCCTGTGGAAAACGCCTTTCCTGATCCCCTTGGTTTTAAGGATACCTGTAAAGGCTTATTTGTGGAAGAGAGGAAGAAAACGCGGTAGAAAGAAAGAGGAAGGAAGAAGAAAAAGAGAAACAAAAGAAACTAGTGCTTACTATGTGCCAGGCACTGTGCAAATTTGAGTCTCACGACAACCCTGGGAGGTAGGTACTCTGACTACTTCTATTTTACACTTGAGGAAACAGTCAGACAACAGTTGTGATTTGCCCAGGGTCTTGTCTGAAGCCGAATTTGAGGTCACTTCTGACTCCAGGCCCATGGCTCAATCTATGGCGTCATTCGCTTAGACCAGGAAGGGACACCTAGTAAACACTTAATAAAAGGCTTAATTGATTTATTTACATATATCTCCCAGTAAAGCGCAAGGTCCTCAAGAGAGAAGGTAATTTTGTTTTGTTGTCGAAATTGTTACTAATTGATGCTACGCCAACCCAAGCCAACCAACTTAAGTTAAGCACTACCAAATGCTTTGTGAGATTGTATTGGCATTAGTGCAACCACTAAGGGTCACCTTAACTTGAAAACGAGCAGAAAAAAAAACTAATTCCATTAAAAAAACTTCCCAGCACTAGTAATAGAAAAAAAAATCTGGTTTAAAACTGCTTCATAGTTGGATGTAAAAAAAAAACTGCTTTATAGTGTACTTCAAGTACTTAAGTATACTTAGTCAAGAGTCCCAGGGATAAAGGAAGACTGACCGTTTATTTCCCGCTAAAGTGCGGTTAACTTCCCAAAAGGCCGAGCTATTTCAAACTAGCTCGAAACTCCCATTTGCACTAAGGAAGCAAGTTTAGGAACACAGCACGAGGGGAATGAGCCTCTCTACCTCCTCCGAGTCAAAACGTCTCTAAGCCGGATAAAGGGGTCCTAAACTCAACCTAGAGCTCCCGAGACTCTGAACCAACCACGAGGGCACGCGGCACTTTGAACTTTTTAAATGGCCGGGAGCTCACGGCACTGGGGCGACGACCCCACCTCGGGGGCCCGTGCAGCCCCCGAAACTGAGCGGGCTTTATGCGTCACGTCCCGATGCTCGGGAGGGGGAGGGGAAGCAGTGGAACGGAACGGGACAGTGGAACGTGGGAAGTTCCTATCGTCCACCAAAGTTGGCTCTAAGAGACTCCCTCCGACCCCCCAGCCCCTGCAGAAAGGTTTACCCGCCGCTCCTACGGGTCCCGGGAGGAGGACCCAAAGTCGGGGCGGGGCTGCTTTGGGGGGCTTCCTCACTGGCCTGGCCCCGCCCCCTCCGGCCCAACGCGCGGCTCGGCGGGGGGTCAGGGCACGGCCCCCTCCCCATCCCCGCCTCCCCGTTGCCCCTTAGCCTCGGCCCAGACACGCCCGCAGCACCTCTCGTCCCCTCGTCCCGCCCCTTCCCGACCGGGCCGGCCCGGCTGAGAGACGGTGGCCATGAGGCCCCACCGGCCTCCCCATCTCACCTGTTCGGCGGCTCCGTCGCCAGACATCGCGGCGGGCGCCTGGCGAAAGCGTACGAGTTGGCCCGCGGCACGGGGCTAGAAGGAAAAAAGAAAAAGGAAACTCGAAGTCACCTCCCGAAAAAAAAAAGCGGGCGAGGTGCCTGTTGCGGGCGGGCGGCTCCAGACCGCCAGCACCCGCTGCCGCCGCCACCCACTCTGAGAGGAATCAAAATGGCTGCGCCTCGACCCTGTCGGGCCAGAAGGGAGAACATCCGGGGCACCTAGGGCGGTCGTGACGCCGGCAGCGCCCTCACGCAGCGCTTAGACAACGCAAGGACTTGGCGAGGGGGCGGGGCGGCAAGGCGGGGTCGGCTTCGGGTGTCTCTGACGTCACCTCGCTCGGCGTTCTCACCTCTCCCTTCCGGTTCCGAGAAGACCGGAAGTAGGGGGCGGGACACCTTGTTGGGAGGTAGAGGACTGATTCTTCCGCGATCATAGAGACAGAACAAGAGGGGAACCTGCCCAACCCTCCCATTTCACAGATGAACAGATTGACAACCAGACCGGCTGTGTTAGTAAAGGATTAACCGCTGGATTCAGAACAAAGAAACTTGCACCCTTGACACTATCTTGGGCTTAATCTTCGTTATAAACACATTCTCCGTCCCTTTCTTAACTCCAGACGATCCACTAGACAAATCAAACCCTGGTTTGGGGTGTGTGCTGATTTCGCACGTGTAAAGGCTCCCTCTTAACCGGCTCTAGAACTGACCCACACCCCCTGCTAAAGGGACCTGCCCAGGGGCCCAAGAGTAACAAGATCCAGGCTAGGACTTGAACCCCAGGCTCTTTACTCCCCTCTTTTCACTGCCCCAGGGCTCTTGTTATCTGTGGGGTTTTGTTTTTCTCAAGTTCCAGGTCGTCTGTGCTTTTTACCGTCCCACCTAAATGTTAAACCTCAGTCTTTTTTTCTTTTTTGTGGGGGTGGAGGATGCCCACCCTCATTTACTTAAATGGACAATCACCGAATGTCAGAGTTGGAAGGGACCTCTGAAAACCTAAATTCAACTGCTGGTCTGCTGTTTCTCAGCTCTGTGACTTACAATCAAGTCTCTTAACTTCTCCTCCGGGGGTTTGACCTGGATGATCATTGACAGGGTCCCATTCTTCTCCAAAGGGCTGACTGGATTGCTGAAACAGTCCCTGCTTTTAAAATAACCATTGCTTTCCTACCTCCACCCACCCTGTCCATCTCTGCCAGATTCCTTTTCTTAACGTCCACTTCTGGTCAAAATACTTAGTTACTCCCCATTCCTCCAGAAATCCTTACTTTCAAGACCCTCCGCTCTATCTATGGCTAACATTGAAAGTATGAGTGCAGCGAAGGGGAAGAATCATCTCTCTTGGAAATGAGTGTTCCTCTACAGATCTGTCAGTGACCGGTGACTTCACAAGTCAAAGCATTCGTAAACCCATTATTACTTGGGTTCTAGCAGCCCACTCTTAGGGGGAGGGATAAAGGGAAATGTCTAACAAAAAAAAAAAGTTTTGACGTGCACTCTCAAACATGGTTAGCCCTTGGGACTATCAGAATTTTACCTCTTTTTCATGTTTGTATTTGCGTCCCCAGCACAGTGTCTGTCACGTAACACACTCTTAATAAATATTTTATCTTGTATCTCTCCCTTCAGCGCCGTTGCAAGTAAACAGTGACTATACTTTCTATAGGACCTACTTCCTTACCCAAGCAGAGGCCATTCTGTGGTGTACAAGGATCCCCGAAGATATGTAGCGTGTAGGCAATGAGGCACTGCTTCTTAAAATAGCTGCAAGGGAGAAGCAACATAATTTGTGCTTACACACTTCTTGAAGTCTAAACCCACATAATTTTAAACATCCTACATAGTTCATAACCTGTCATTGGATAACAAAACTATCAGTAACATTTGCCTACTCTTTCAGTCTTTGATTGGGTATAACTAAATTCAGTGACTTACTGTCAGCTTTGGCTGGGCTTTCCCCCCTTTTCCCTCCAATTTAGCTAAGCACATTTGCATAAATGGAAGACTTGCAGTTCCACTAGGATGACTTGAGGGCAGGGGCTGTCTTTTGCCTCTTTTTGTATCCCTGGTCCTTAGTGTGTGGGACAAAGACAACTTACTCAAAATAAAAACAAAGACTTACATACCTTGAAAGCAGATGGAGTTTATTGCCTCCTCCTGAGAAAGGATACCGCCCCTCCTCGAACTAATGAGGAATTGATTACAGAAAGCAAGCCTTATTTGTACCCTAACTCAAGCTCCTCCTCCCTAACCCCTTCTCCTTATCCCATTGGCTGAGCTTCAGGGAGCGCAGTCTATTCTCAGAAATCTCCCCCAGCAACAGAGAACAAAGGCAGTTACACAAGTTTGCCCAGAGACAAGAAAAGGTGGCAAGTAAAGGCAAGGGCAAGCAGTTCAAGTTGGGGGTAGGGCATTCTTTCTGCTAAGTGCTTAAAAACAGGGTCTGAGTGGGAAGGGTTTTGCAAGGTCAGAAGGGCAACAATACAAGAACTATTAACCCTTTGAGGAGGCTTCACTTCTGAGAGATCATCTCTCACATTAGCACAGTGCCTGGCACAGAGTAGGCAAATTAATAAAACTTTATGAATTGCATTGAAAATTTAATTATTAAGTATTATTAACCATAACTTGGAGATCTCCGACAACTTCCAACTTTTCAATAAAATTGCTTTGAAATTCTGAATTCAATTCAATAAACATTTATTAATGGCCTGTTACATATGACACTGTCTTGGGTACTGGGAATACAAGGACAAATGCAAAAACAAAACCAACCTTTATCCATAAGGAATTTGTATTGCAGAGGTATGGAAGGGAATAGAACATTTATACAAATAAGTCATATAATCTAATTTGATGAGGAAAAAGTACTAACAATCAGGAGTACCAAGAAAAGCTTCCTATAATTTTTCGTGTGTGTGTGTGTGTGTGTGTGTGTGTGTGTGTGTGTGTGTGTGTGTGAGATGGACTTCTCTGGCAATCTGGCAAAGCATATGGATACTTCAGAGTAAAGTTTTTAAATACATAAAAAAATAGCATTTCAAGGGAAACCAATTATATCAAAATGCACATGTCAAAAAAAAATTTTTTTAAGCAAGTTCATGGACCCTACCCCCCAGTTAAGAACCCCCAGCTATAAGAGGTTCAACCTGGTCTGAGCCTTGAATCCTAAGGGATTCTATGAAGGAGAGGTGAGGAGGCAGTGCTCTCCAGGCATACGGGATAGCCTTTGCCAAGGCATGGAGAAGGAGGTAGCCTGTGCCATCGCATAAAGAAGAGAGAAAGGATGCAGAGCTCAGGAAACACCAGGTTGAAAGGGCTGGCTAGAATGTTGGCTGTGTGCAGGGGAGAATTTGGGATTTCATTACACAACACCTATAGCTATGTTCTTTTCTGGAAGCCTTAACCTGGAAAAATCTACCTCGACCTCAGTGACATTTGGAAATGGGTTGAAGCACTGAGAAGCAAGTTCATCCTTTTCTTCTCCATTTATTTTTTAAGTCCAAAGCTCAGTGTTTCAGCCCTTGATACACAGCAAGGGAAGAATTTCTCAGGCTTTTACATTCCCAAGATGATACTGATGTTTGCTTTAGGTTACACAGTAAGCTAGCTCTAGATTGTTTTAGTGCTAACTCATAAAGGGAATATTTGTACTGCGTTTTGCCAGAAGCAAGTAAAAAATGTTCATTGCCAGTTCTGTAACTTCATTGGGTGTAGTTTTTAAATGTCCACAGGCTCTTTGAATTGTACTCACAATGCAACTTTGTGAGATGCAGAATCCTAGATCAAAAGAAGGAATGCCTGTGTAGGATGTGTGTGTGTGTGTTATCCATGTAGGTTATATGTGTTGACATGGATGTGTCTAGATGTGGCTTACTGGGAAGCATGAATAGATATCTCTAGAATCTCACTTCCTACAAATCTTTCCAAATTTCTCTGAACCTTCTCCTTTCTTTATTTTTGATGGCACATTAATATTCTATTACATTCATATATCATAATTTAAACAAATTATTATTATATTATTATAATTTAATGATTCACATGATTATTATCACACACCCCCCTAATTGATAGACACCCCCTTAACTTCCAGTTCTTTGTCACTTCCAAAAGGGCTGTTGTAAATAGTTTTGTACCTGAGTCCTTTTCCCTCTGGCCCCAACCTCCTGCTTCCCTCCTGTCAGTTATCAGTCTCCCTGGGAGAGGCTTTAGACATGTTTACCTTCAAGCCAAATCTAGACAGACCATGTAAACATATATAACGTAAGTGGGCAAAATACAGCACACACTTCCTAACAACCTTAAAATATTACTTTTTTTGGGGGGGAGGGGAGAAAGTGTGAATCTTTCCTCCATGTTAGAGACTTCATTTTAACCAATGAAGCTTGACAACTTCCTGGCAATGTATAGTCTTAGAGAGTTGCCTAAGGTATTGAGAAGTTAAGAGATATGCTGAAGGCCCCAGAGCCCCACACATGTCAAAGCAAAGAGTTGAGCCAAAATCCTCCTCATTCAGAGGCCTACTTTCTATCCACTAACCCACACTGTCTCTCAAAATAGAAATTAAATGTTAAAAACAACATGTAAATCATAAAAGAACAGTAAGTCTGCTCTCCACTTATAAAGTGTTGCATAACCATATTGGTTCAAATTAGGCCATGGCCCTAAAATTAAAGCTCTTTGAAAGGTGGAAAAAAATATATATCTATATGTATGCATGTATATATGTATATATATACATAGAAATGCACATATACAAATACATGCTGAAAATAATTAGGAAAATTAAAATATAACAAATTTGCTGTAAAAGCCTTCATATTTTAATATCACTTTTTTAAAAAAAGGCAATTGGGGTTAAGTGATTTGCCCAGGGTCACACAGTTAATAAGTATCTGAGGTCAGATTTGAACTCAGCTCCTCCTGACTCCAGGTCTGGTGCTCTATCCATTGCACAAAATTTTAACATAAATACCACCAGCAAGTTGCAGATTCCCTTTCTGGAGGACTCACAGAATGATGTGGCCGAGAATGACATCTGTTGAGGAAATATAAAGAGACTGCAACCTGGGCAGGTAAAGGACACACACACACACACACACACACACACACATACACACGACTTCAGTCTCTCAGCCAGTCAACAAGATTTCATTAAGCACTTACTTGCTATGTGCCACATACTGTGATTCCAAGTATCAACATATTGCATATTAAAAAACATATATAAAGTGATGGTATGTGTCAACATAGATAGCAACATATTACAAAGGCTGTCACAGACTTCATATTGCATATTAAAACATCATACATAATGTGATGATATGTGTCAACATAGCAACATATTACAAAGACCACCAGAAACTTAGTGTTTTGGGCACTGTAAAGGGTTTTAAAAATTGTTATTATGCTTATTTTTTTGGGCTAAGCAATGGGGTTAAGTGACTTGCCCAGGGTCACATGGCTAGTAAGTGTTATGTGTCTGAGGCCGGATTTGAACTCATGTCTTCCTGAATCCAGGGCCGATGCTCTATCTACTGTGCCACCTAGCTGCCCTTAAATTATTTTTTAAGAATAAGTTTCATTATGGACATAAAATGACTAATCAGTATGAATGTATTTAAAATTAATCATAATAGTATGCCTTAACTAATACTAATCCAATTCAATAAACACTTATTAAATGCCAGCTAAGTGCTAGGCTCTAAAGATAAAAAGACAAAAAGTAAACAGTCCCTGTTCTCAAGAAGCTTTCCTTTTAGGGTATCAACATGTACACATAAATAAATATAGAATATATGCAAAGTTAATGCAACCTAATTTTTGACATTAACTACCAAGGGATAGGTAAATGTCTTGGGTAGGAGGTAGCCCATAAGCTGAACCTGGAAGGAAAACATTCCAAGAAAGAGAAGTGAAGAGGGACAGTGTTACAAACCAGGGAGGAACACCTTCATAAAGACAGCAAAAAAACGAAACAATTTGCTCATTATTCCCCCTATTTCTCCTGCCAATCTTTGTTCAACCTTCTCCATATACATGGGATAGACTTTTCATATGATCATTTTATATGTAATTTTTCCTGTTTTCTTTACTTTCACATCATTTTGTATGTATTGTGCTCCATTATAACAATCTGTCTCAATTTATTTAGCTTTTCCTCAACCAATAGATATTTCAAATTGTTTCTATTTTCTCAATGTTATAAATAATGAAGCTACAAATAGCTCTAGAGATAATTTTTTTAAAAGTACACTTTTAGGGTATATTTGCAATGATGGCCTTATTGGATCAAAATATACAATCAATTTTTCCGTGTCCTTATTGTAAACTACCAAATGATTTTCTAATCAGAGGATTTGGATACATATCCCAGATTTACTACTAAATATATTCTTGACCTCAGGAAAATCACTTGACTTCTTTCAGTCCACATCTGTAAAATGAAGGGATTGTTCTAGATGACTTAGAAGGTCATTTCCAGCTCTAAATCTAAGAACCTAAAAAAATTGCCCAAAATGTTTAAATACCACTAGCAATGTATGAGTGTACTTTTATTTACCTGTATTAATTGAATGAGTAAGAGAATACTTTGAAATTGTTTTAATTTATATTTTTCTTTTTTTTTGTGAGATGGAACATTTTTCCAACTCATTATCTACAATTTATATTTCCTTTCTTGTGTAGCATGTACTCTGGCACTACTATCCCAAATCTTACTCTACTGCCAAATCAGGTCCCTAAAGGGAGTCTACTAGTTCTCTTCTCAGGTTAAAGAACAAAAGCAAAACTTTAAGAGTAAAGAGGTCTTGGTAAGTAGATTTTGCTTGTATCATAGCTTATAAGCCTCCATTGATTATCAATTAATATCAATTAGTCAGACAAACTTAAGTAGTTCTTTTGAAAAAAAATTTAGAGTGGTATATAATTTCTACTAAATATCCTCTAAAAGTCTGTCATTATTTGTGAGTTGCTATTCGAACATGACATGAGGGAGGTGATACCATGACATGCAAGTGAATTGGATTTAAGTGAGGGAGGGCTGTGCAAGGTCACCAGCTTCACTTTCTCCAGAACCATCTGGGTCCAGTGGCCAGATGTGGACCAGGACAACTGAAGATGGCTGGGGATGCAGTGGGGAACCTTGGCCTTAAGGGGATGCAGTGGGGAACCTTGGCCTTTTCAAGCTAAGGTCTTTCACAGGTCTCAGTTTGACTGAGGCAAAGTCCGATCAGAATTAAGACTTAATAAGAAATGAGGCAAAGAATGATTGATCTCTTAAAAAAAATCTGAGAAGGGAAGACCCTCAGGTTTCTAGCCAAAACAGAAACAGTTGCTATTTATATTCATTCTGAGCCAGTCAGGGGCCAAAGAATGAACAAGTAGGGTTTGGCCTGGAACATGCTATTGGCCAATCAATGACAGAGTGATTTTGGAGAGCTGGACTGATTTGGGGTTAAGGCTGGTCTTTAAGAGAAAAGGGAAAAAAATTTTACATTCCCTCTGGGGTGGACAGGGAAAGAAAGATAAGAGGGAAGGAAGGAAGGAAGGAAGGAAGGAAGGAAGGAAGGAAGGAAGGAAGGAAGGAAGGAAGGAAGGAAGGAAGGAAGGAAGGAAGAGGAAGGAAGGGAGGGAGGGAGGGAGGAGGAGGAAGGAAGAAGGAAGGAAGGAAGGAAGGAAGGAAGAAGAAGGAAGGGGGAGAGGAGGAGGGAGAGAAGAAAGGAAGAAGAAAAAAGAAAGAAAGAAGAAAAAGAAAAGAAAGAAAGAAAGAAAGAAAGAAAGAAAGAAAGAAAGAAAGAAAGAAAGAAAGAAAGAAAGGAGCCATGTTGCCCAGCTGACCAGTTCCACTTTGTGAGTATATGTCAGTAGATGTCTTAGGTAGGAGGTGTCTCTTGAGCTGGGCTTTGTGTCCAAGTAAATAGAGTTCAGGGGAAATTTGGATCAAGCCTGGTTCATGAGGAACATTTCACAAAGGCAGCATCTCATGGCTCTGGAAGTCACTTTGCTGGCATCCTTAAGCTGTTCCCTTTAGGTATGGCATAACTTTCTCCTCGGTTCCTTATAATGAAGCTGCCTTTTTCCATAGTGTCAAGTTTGTCCTCAGCTCCTGAGGCAGATGGAGTCACTAGACACTACCGCCAGGACTCTGCAGCCTTCCAAAGCTCACAAGATCATCTTTCCTCCCCCAAGAGAAGCTAGGTGGCCAGTGGGTAGAGCACTGGGCCAAAGTCAGGAAGACCTGATTCCAAATATGGCCTTAAACACTTCTTAGCTCTGTGACTTTGGGTAAGTCACTTAATTCTGTCTGCCTGGGTTTCCTCGACTGTAAAATGGGAATGATAACAGCACGTATCTCCCCAGGTTGTTTTGAGGATCAATGAGATAAGATTTATAAAGTGCTTAGCACAGTGTCTGGCACAGAATTGTTGTTACTCAGTTGTGTCTGACTCTTCATGACCACATGTACCATATTGTCCTTTTTTCTTTTTTTTGCAAAGATACTGGAATGGTTTGCCATTTCCTTCTCCAGTGGATTAAGGCAAAGGTTAATTGACTTACCCAAGGTCACATAGCAAGCACGTAATAGGTGCTTAATAAATGATTATTCCCTCCTTTTCCCTTCCTAGTGATTCCCTCTCAAAGATTTAACTGGAACTGTTCTCTCCTCAGCCTGCTAAGTACTTGAATGCTTGGGTTCTGAGCTGACTTGCTGGGTTATAGAATGTGAGAAGTAAGAAACTATTATATTTCCATATAAGGAAATGGAGAGAAAAGTAGCTCTGAGTCAGGAATTTCAAGAGCCGGCTAAAATTGGGTGAAACTGGTTGTTTGATTAAAGAGGCTGGAGGTAGGGCAAAGGTTAAACTCTGCTTAGAGGGTGCATGCTTAATAGGCTTATGAATACTAGCTTTTCCACCTTCCGGGCAGGGCTAAGACACCATTTTATATATGAAGGAGGGAGAAGCATACTAAGGGCAACATGTGGTGGGCATTTTGGGGAGTCTGTGACATGTGCTGACTTGTGCCAGTGAAAGTCAGCTAGGAGGGACTCTTGCTTCTTTCTATAGGGTGTGTGCGCTCACCTCGAGCCCCACACCCGCTTCTTGCAGGAAGCTATTAAAGGTTTCACTGCTTCACTCATCCTGAGTCTGCCTAACTTACTGTGTCTATTTGGGCACCGGAGATTATTCCAACGAGAAGATCATATGGTGTGATTGAGTTCCTTCAGCCAATCAAATACCCTGAACAGGACCACTTGATTTCATCCAGTGGCTTTCAGGAATTCTCATCCTAGCCCTTGACTGAATGATTGATTCACTAATGATGGGTATGCCTTGCTCTTTGCACCTAGTTCATATAGGTGATTGATTCAATCAATGGAGAAGTTCTTCCCTGACAAAGACAGTTACTTTAAATGGGGTGGGGTAAGTGACTGATAAAATGAATTCCCACCTTTACACTTGTAAATTGTCTGTTCCTACTGACACAAACCATATACATGGCAGTGAGCTTGTGAGTGCGCATGCGCCTAGTGCAGACACACACACACACACACACACACACACACACACACCTCACCTCATCCACACTTTTCCCCCCAGTGCAAAGGGTACTACAGCCTCAGAAGGGTGCCAATCAAATATCTACAACACAGGTAGTGGTTACCTGACCCTGCCTGATCGTAGAAACCATACCCCACCCAATATGAAATTGATGATGAGAGTTCTCACTTGGACATCCTTCTGCCTTCACATTCATTCCCCCATATTCTTTTCTAATTCTGCTACCTGCTCCAACTGATGTATCTTCAATTTCCTGACTTTCCCACAGTCTTATTCTACTTTACTCACTCAATTGTCTTATGCTTCATCATAAGTAAAGCCAAGGGCAGGATCTTGCCATCACGCCAGGCATCAAAAAACATTTTGACATTTCTTTCTAGTAGGGGAGAAAGTGATGAACAATTTTAGGTAGCTGCAAATCCCTTTCTTTCACACACAGCTTCTTGCCTTTCTTGCTTTAATCACTCCATAAGTTTATATCGTTACCTTGTAGATTTTGGATGTCAGGCTAAAATATATATTTTAATAATTTTTTCCTTCCAATCTGCCCTTTTAAAATGGTTATGCTGTTTTGTTGCATGGAATTAGCAATTCTTACTTATGTAATACAAGTTTTACATTTTAAGGCTCAATCCAATCCAATTCAATCAATAGACAAGCATTTATTAAGCATTTACCAATTTAGGAACTATGCTAAGAGCTAAGGAAGAGTGAACAAAGCTCAAAACAGCCCCTGCCCTAGAGGAGCTTCTATTCTAAAGGGAGAGGGTAGTATTAGATACATACAGAGTAGATGGAAGGCAACTTAAGAGGGAAAAATTCTAGTGGCAGCTTCAAAGGACTAACCCTAACCCTAACCCTAACCACTGTGCTAGCTGGGCACTGGGAACAAAAAGGGAAAAGACAGTTCTTGTCCATAAGAGCTTACTTTGGGCACCTGCTAGGGAGGTAAATTTTGAGACTCAGAGGATGGGAAAATCAATCAATAACAAAAAAACCCCCAACATTTATTTAAATAAATAAATAAATGATGAGCAGGCAGATTTCAGAAAAACCTGGAAAGGCTTACTTGAAGTGAGTGAACAAAGTAGAACCAGAGAACATGATACACAGCAACAGCATCATTGTACATTGATTACCTAGGATAGACTTAGTTCTTCTCAGCAATACAATGATCCAAGACAATTTCAAAAGACTCATGATGGAAAATGCTAAGCATATCCGGAGAAAGAACTATGTAGTCTGAATGCAGATCACAGTATACTATTTCACTGTTTTTGTTTGTTTGTTTGTTTCTTTCTTGTTTTTTTCCCTTTGTGTTCTGATTCTTCTTTCACAACATAACTAATGTGGAAATATGTTCAACATGATTGTATATGTACAACCTCTATCAGATTGCTTGCTATCTTGGGGAGGGGGAAGGGAAGGAGGAAGGGAGAAAAATTTGGAACTCAACATTTTACAAAAATGAGTGCTGAAAACTATCCTTACATGTAATTAGAAAAAATTACAATTAAAAAAATTATTAAGTGCCTACTATGTGGCAGAAAAGACAGTGACAGTTCCCTCCCTTCTAGAAGTTTACAGTCTAACAGAGGAGACAGCATACAAATAAATATATAGAAAGCAAGCTATATGCAGGACAAGTAAAAAATAATTAAAAGAGAGAAGGCATTAGAATTGAGGGTTTGGTGAAAGCTTCTAGAAGAAGGTGGGATTTTAGTCAGGACTTAAAGGAAGCTGGGAGGTCAGTAGTCAGAATGGAGGAGGGAGAGAGTTCCAGGCATGGGGGACAGCCAGAGAGAAGGCCCAAAGGTAAGAGATGAGTGTCTTGTTCAAAGAACAGCTGGGCGGCCAGTGTCCATTAAACCAAAAAGAGAAACCAGCAGTAGGTAGAGTCAGAATCCAGTGGTACTTTGTTGTTTAAGTCGTGTCTGACTCTGGTTTGCTATTTCCTTCTCCAGTGCATTGTACAGATGAGAAACTGAGTTAAGTGACTTACCCAGGGTCACCCAGGTGGGAAATGTCTGAGGCCAGATTTGAACTCTGGAAGATAAACCTCCCTGATTCCAAGCCCAGTGGGCTATCCACTGAGCCACCTAGCTACCCTGCAGCAGTGCAAAGATTGTTTGATTGCCTCTTGACCTTGTGGTCAAGGCCTCGGCTTGTAAGTGTTTCTAGCCCCAAGAAGGCTGTGCCCTGATGAAGAGCCGTGCAGAGGAAGCCCAGGGTCCACGCTGCATCAGCAATACTTGCTCGGGTCAGGATCTTTGGCACCTAGCTCTAGGCTCTGAACAATGTTTTGCTAATAATAAACAACTAAAATAATTTTCTAAAATGTTTTTTGCTTTAAATGTCACAGTTGACTTTTCCCTTTAGGAAATCCACCCTCCTGGTATTTACATTCGTTTCATGCATAGGCATGCGTCACTTTAGTATTTAGCCTAAAGTAAAAAAGAATGGAAAAGAAAGATGAAAAAAGATCCCACTTTCTATATGACATATCATCAAACTGTTTAGAGGAATTCTCAACAAGAGGAACAATTTTCCACCAGTGCGTTTCCAATTACCCTTTCATTATTTTTAAAGCAACTGTGGAATGCTGTGGAAAAACTTCAAATATTCTCTCTGTTCAGTTGGATGTTAATGTGAATTTTATTTAAGATTTAAATATACATGGAGTCAATGAAGACCCATCACCACCTTTTGCTGCTGTACCTAGAGGATCATGGGATTTTCCCATCTGTATTGCAGCTGAAACCTTCCATGCGTATTTTATCCCACATTAGAATGTGAGCTCTCTGAGCTTCCTTTTTGACTTAAATCTCCTGTCCTTACCATAGCTCTTTGTATATAGTAAACACCTAAAAAAATGTTTGTTTCTTTAAAAATTCATTCAAATGCTAGGTTGTCTCTGTAAATAATTTTAGCCAGATGCTTTTCGTAATTCAGTTTAGGAAACATGTATTAAGTGCCCATAACTAACAACGGTACTGTTGGTAAGCTCTAGGGTACCAAAAAAAAAAAAAAGGAAAACAATATTCACGGTCAAGGAGTGTATATTTTAGTTGGCATAAAGGATAGAGTACCAGGCCTAGAGTCAGAAAGACATGAGTTCAAATGTCACCTCAGAGACCTCCTAGCTGTATGACCTTGGGCACTTCTATAGCTTTAAGGGGCTTCAGGGGTTGAAATGCTATACTTTGACATTAGGAGGCCTAGGTTCATATTTTTCATCAATGGGCAAATCAACTAACCCCTCAGAGTCTCAGCTTCTTCATCAATAAAATGGGGGAACTAACAATTATGCTATCTACTTCCTAGGATTGTTGTGAGGAAAGCTTTGGGCAAATTTTAAAGTGCTATATAAGTAGAAGTTGTTTATTATTGTTGTTTCGTTCCAGGCCCTCACTTTTTTTGATGAACAGTTTCAGAAAGCTAGAATGACTTTCCAAGGTCACTTAGTTAAAAAGGGGCAGAGCTAGACAACAGCCTTATGCAGACTACAGTAAAATTATCCCTAGCATATTGCAGGAGTTAGGGGTTCAGTGCCCCTGTGATCTGGAAACTCTGCATAAATTTTTTTGGCCCTCCCTTCATACCAGAGAAGAGGTCTGAATTATTATGGTATTAAAAGATAAAGTATGTTAGTATTATTTCATACTATACATATATTTTACACATTTCTGAATTTCTAAACCTTTTCTGTCGTCTGCTGGCTTCCACAAAACTCCCCAAGAATTCCCCTTTAATTTCTTGTGCTGATCTGCCATATGTTGGACTTAATATATCAAAGCTTCAGTGGGGAAAGTTGTGATGTGACAGGCGTAACCGTACTAGACCTGCTTTGGTTAATGCCGTGCAGCTGGAGTATAGAATGAATTGAGGGGAGGCATACAAAAATCAATAAGCTTTTAATAAACATCTACTATGTGTCAGGGATACAAAGGCAGAACTCCCTGGGAAGGTTCCCAGATGGTACAATTGATCAATTAAATTAAACTTGATTCCTCTCTTAGTTCGGCGCTCATTCCTTTATACCTTTGCTTAGCGCTAGATGATCTGTCCTCTTCCTCTGATGCCTTATCACAGCAGAGAGTTGACACTGTACTCTCCAAGGTGAGAGGAACATAAATTGTGGTAGGTCTTTCCAACTTAGAAGTGCTTTGAGCATAGGGCTGGGTAGGTCTATTACGGCAGAGAACAACCTAGGTGAATGTGGAGAGGTTCATCGTCCCATTTTCCTCAGGCTGATGAATTTTTCAAGCCAAAGAAACTCTTGATGACCATTGGCTGATTTGAAGAGGCACTAAAATCTGAAAGATAGAAGAGAATGAAATCCCGGATCTTTGAGATATGGATGGCTTTATCTATCATCCTCTGTCAGTCATGTTTATTCAGTTCTAAACTAGCTCCTTAAGGAGCTCCTGGGGAAGTAAGAAACAAAGATGGAAATAATAGGGATGGTGGGCTAAGAGAGAGAACAGCCCTTTCTAAATGAGTTTCATATTGCTACTGGATGAGCGTTTTCTTTCTTCTTTTTTTTAAAAATTTATTTATTTTTAGTTTTCAACATTCACTTCTGTATGAGCATTCTCAACCAGACCTCACAGCTACTATTTGCATGTATCATTCAATATCTGTAATAGAGAAACTCATAGACTATGCTTAGGACAGAATTTCATCACACTGATTTTAGGGTAAGAAACTTGCCTCTTGTAATGTTTCCACTACTCCTCCAGGTGGCAGACTAACATAGCCTCCGTCAAGAAGCTAAACAAGCTAGCTGCATTGATTACAAGAAAGAAAAAAAAAAAATATATATATATATATCCAATTAAAAAAAATACCTGTCCAAAATGCTAGAACCCAATCTGGATACATTTACCAAATGGTTTAAGACAGCTTCCCTTTTCAAAATCCAAGGGAGAATTTTGCTATTGTACCCAATGCAGTTTGATGCAATTAAAAAAATCTTTTATTAAATGCTTACTATGTTCCAGGCATTGTGCTAGGTGCTGAGTCTCCGAAAGTTTCTGTCCTCAAGATGCTTACATTCTATTGAGGTGGGGAAAGGGAAACTCAAACTCATTCAAAATATGTGCAAATTAATGGGGAGAAAAGCACTAGCAAGTGGGGCGAGGGGAAAGGTCTCTTATAGAAACTGAGGAGTCCCAGACATTTAAGGGGCTATGATTAACTTTGTTGTACAGCTGACTCCTGTGCATGAATCGCATTATTTGAATTTGCACTATTTGCATTACATGTTTCCATTGAGATGGAACCAATGACCATGTTTTACATAATTATAATTTTGAAAAGTACTAATTGGAATGCATGCAACCGTTTCAGGGGATTAATTATTCACACCAGTTGGGACTAATTTGTATAGTCAGAGTAGGAGGAAAGGAAAGAACATTTATTAAGCATCTTCTGTGTGCCAGGCCTGTGCTAAGCACTTTAGAACTGTTGTCTCATTTGATCTTCACAACTTTGGGAAGTAGGGGCTATTATTACCCTCATTTTACAGTTGAGGAAACTGAGGCAAACAGAGGCTAAGGGACATATTCAGGTTCACATGGCTAGTAAGTGTCTGAGACTGGGTTTCCTGACTCCAGACCGAGTCTCTGTCTACTGAGTCACCTAGCTGCCTCCATAATGGGGCCATCTTGAAAAATATTCCACTTTCCTAATTGATCATCTCAATAGCCACCAAATAGGTGTTTTTTGACTGTGTATGTCAATTTTAGATCTTTGCTGTGGGGGCCAAAGTGTTTGGTGAAGCACTCCTGATACCCAAGTAGTTGCTGTCCTACTCAAAATTACTGAGATTCATGAGGAACATTCTTTGAATATCTCTCTTTCTAATTTTTAAAGGCGCCCATAAGGCATACATGAAATCGGTCCTAAGTAAAATTCTTAGCAAATACGGGATGTACATCTATACATAGAAACAGCACACCAAGTCTCCTCCAGCTCCCCACCCCAGCAGTTCACTTTTCTGTCTGCTTTTTATATTTGGTCTGTTTTACAAAAAAGACGAGCAAGTGAACAAACACATGACTGGAGCTATGCGGAGGGATGGGCGAATATTTTTAAAAGCTCATGTGAAAGGAACCAAAATATGAGTTTGAGGGTCTATTTTTAAAGTGTTTTAAAATATACTCCAAAGTGGTTGGTACTCTCACATGCATGCTGAAGCTGTAATACATACACCATGACTAGTTTTGGATTTGAATGATTAAGAATTGATTTTTTAAAAAATCCCTTTTCAAATTGTCTTACTTCAATGCACCTGGAATCTCTTTAGTGAAGAAATTCTTTGTGTAATTCAACTTACTTCAATTTAATTAAACAAACATTTAAAAAAATTATTATATCTTTTGTTTGTACTTGACCTGCATGTCCCAATATATCCCTTCCTTTTGTCCCTCTCAGAGAACCATCACAGATAAAAAAAAATGGAAAAGGGGGGGAAAATGTAGCACAACTAATCAACACATTGAAAAAGTCAGACACTACACAAAGTGCTCCACAAATATAGTCTTCCACATCTTCGAAGAGCTGGGGAGCTGCCTACTTGTACCTTGTCTTTGTGCCAAGCTTGGATGCTATAATTATATAGCATTCAGTTTCAATTGTTTTTCTGTTCTTTCTGTTTATGTTGTTGTCGTGCGTATTGTTTTTCCTGGTTCTTCTTCCTTCATTTTGCATCAGTTCATATGCCTCTTACCATGCTTTTCTGCTTTTGTTGTATTCAGAGATTTTTGAAAGCACCTATTATGTGCCAGTTACTCCATTTAGGACTAGAGATGTGAAGCAGGGAGCTACATTATGCTGGGAGGGCAACCACATGTGTAGACACCAACCAACCCATCCATGCTTTTTCATCTAATGCCACTCTTGTCAAGTCAACAAGCATTTATTAAATATCTACTATATGGCAGGCACTCTGATACAAATGGAAAACCAGTCCCTGAACTCAAGGAGCTCACAATAGAATGGGAGAAACAACATGTAAACAACTACATACGAGAAAAATTGGATATAATCTCAGAGGGAAAGTTCTAGAATTAAGATAGACAGAAATAAGAGTTGTACTTTCCCATATTTGTGGGAATTGCCACATTTGTGAGCTCACAGACCCATTAGCACAGTGGAGTAGTGATTTGCACTTACCCATTCACCCTCTCTAACCAGGGCTCCCATGAGAATATAAGCTCCTTGAAGGCAAGAGATTTCCCATTTTTATCTTTGTGTTTCCTAGTGCCTGGCTCATTAATTGATCAATCGATTGCTTGTTGATTTGACACGTTGGAGGCCAGACTGAAGGAGTTAGGGATACATTTTGTAGATGCAGGGACAGAACAAGACTGGCTGACCTACATGGGACTCCAACCTATGACATCATTGGCATACTTCTCTAACCAACCACCTCTCTCCTCCCATTCCTTGGTAATATACACTCCTCAGGCCTTTTGTTTTTTATCTTTTCCACAAGTGTTTTCCTTCTAGTCACTGAAGTATAAAGACATTTCCTTCTCTCCAAACTTTGAGCAGAACTCCTTGTGCCGGAGATAGCATGTTCCCTCCCCATAAGTACTATTCCTGGCAGAAAATGAAGTCCAAGTTTGTGCTGCTTTGAGAAAGGAATTTTGCAATGCTGTTTTTGTATCAGTCACCATCCAGACTATAATGTTATTATCATAAGATTGCACTGAATATTGCCATACTACAGAATGTGAGACTCTTTGCCACCATGTTTCAGCTGCCTTCTCCCTCTTTCCCTCTGGGCCCCCACTGTTGAGTTCCTCCTGGACCATCTATTTTAGGAAGAGTCTAGAGCAACCATCCTCCATTCTCTGGATTTCACCACCATGCTCCAACGAAGGCATCATCCTGCATTCCCCCCTACCTTTCAGCTCCCTTTTATGTCTTGTCTTCCACCCTTAGAATGTAAGTTCCTTGAGGGCAGGCACTGTCTTTTTTCTTTGCATTTGTATCTCTAGAGCTTAGCATAGTCCTGGTCTCTTTATTCATGTCTTTCCATAAGTTTGCTACAGAGGGCCCACCCAATGTGCTGAGGGCTTTCTTTGCATTCTCCTGGCATCATGTAGAATTCAGTAGAGCATATGGGCCATCTTTAAGCCAGGCTGACTGCCTGCACACCAGCCTCCTCCTTAGCTTCTCCACGCTGCAACTTGGATTCCTAACCTTTGACCATGGCCTTGGCTTGGCAAGCTTTTACCTTCTCTTACCTGGTCCCTTGTCCACCATGCTGCTTTCTGGCCATTTCCAAACCTCTTACATGCTCTCTTCCTTGCCAACTCCTCTTACCAACTCTTGTACCTTTACATTTACTGTTTTCCTCTTTTAGAGTGTAAGCTCTTTGAAGGCAGGACTGTCTTGCTTGCTTCTATTTCTATTCTTAGTGCTGAGCAGTGCCTTGTACATAGTATTTATAATACTTCTGCATGCATGCATTCATTCCTGTGGTTCTTGCTGTAGAATAAGAAAAATGAATGCAAAATGTTTTTCTGTGGGTAATGAGTTCATAATATTAACTTGATTCATATGATATCAGAAATCACCATCAGAGCTCATACTATTTTGGCCACAGCTATTGACTTTGCTGTATAACTATTTCATCTGAGTGGCTGTGATCCATCTATATGGTGGTAGAATTAATCAAACACCATAGATGAAACAATATGGTCTTATTACTGAAAAAGTAATGCCTTATATTTCCGTAGTGCTTTAAGGTTTTATTGGGGAGGAAGATCGTTCATAGTTTTCCTCAATTTCTCAAAGGTAATTATAAGTTTCATGACTTTAAGTTTTTTTTCCTAAAACAATGGCCCATTTAAAAAAAATTCTTCAGGTAATACCATATTGCTAGAAGCAGTAGTGTGTTGGAGCTCTTGAACAAACTCCAGAGAGCTGATTGTTAAATTTTTAGGGTGAGCATTTACATTTTGAAAATTAGCAAACACTACAAAGCAGGGCTTGACTTACTGTTTTGTTTTTGTCTAGACTTTAGAAAGTGATGGAGAAAATATTAATAATGGAGATTAAACTTGAAAGCTGTTGTACATGCATATTTTTTTCCTCTGAGAGCCACTGGACGACAAGAATGACATACTGGTAAATGCTTAACAACACGTGTTTACCAGTATGCCATTCTTGTCCTCCAGTGAGATGATATCAGCCTTGGTACTCACCCCTCATCAGTACCCCCATACCCTCTGCCCCTCTGATTAAAGGGCTTGGAGGGCACAGCAAAGAACTCCTCCCAAAGCTTCCATTGAAAGAGTGC